TGATGGTGGTGATGGTGGTGGTGATGGTGATGGTGATGGTGGTGATGGTGATGGTGGTGGTGATGGTGATGGTGGTGATGGTGGTGGTGATGGTGATGGTGATGGTGATGGTGGTGATGATGGTGGTGGTGGTGATGGTGATGGTGATGGTGGTGGTGATGGTGATGGTGGTGATGATGGTGGTGATGGTGGTGATGATGGTGATGATGATGGTGATGGTGGTGATGGTGGTGGTGATGGTGGTGATGGTGATGGTGGTGATGGTGGTGGTGATGGTGATGGTGATGGTGGTGATGGTGGTGATGGTGGTGATGGTGATGGTGATGGTGATGGTGGTGATGGTGGTGATGGTGGTGATGGTGGTGGTGATGGTGATGGTGATGGTGATGGTGGTGATGGTGGTGGTGATGGTGGTGATGGTGATGGTGATGGTGGTGATGGTGGTGATAGTGATGGTGATGGTGATGGTCGTGATGGTGGTGGTGATGGTGATGGTGGGTGATGGTGATGGTGATGGTGATGGTGATGGTGATGGTGGTGATGGTGGTGATGGTGATGGTGATGGTGGTGATGGTGGTGGTGATGGTGGTGATGATGGTGATGATGATGGTGATGGTGGTGATGGTGGTGGTGATGGTGGTGGTGGTGATGATGATGGTGGTGGTGATGGTGATGGTGATGGTGATGGTGGTGATGGTGGTGATGGTGGTGATGGTGATGGTGATGGTGATGGTGGTGATGGTGGTGATGGTGATGGTGATGGTGGTGATGGTGGTGATGGTGATGGTGATGGTGATGGTCGTGATGGTGGTGGTGATGGTGGTGATGGTGGTGGTGATGGTGATGGTGGGTGATGGTGGTGGTGGTGGTGATGGTGACAATGGTGACGAGGACTGCTAACGTTTTGGGAGCTCTTACTAAGTGCCAGGTAAGAGTTTTAGCTTTACCTTGCTGGATGATCTCACTCAGTCCTGTGGTGAGCACTGTTGCTACTCCCTCCTGAATCCCTAGTCTGGAGGGCCCTGGGTGAAAGAGCTCCTCGCCGAGTACAGGAGCTCAGAGTGGAAAAGAAGAGGGTCCCTGGATACCCTGAGCCTCACTTACCCTCCCCATGTGAGGTCACTGAGCTGGAGAAGGCAGAGACGGGCTAGGGGCTCGGGTGGGTTCAGATTCAAAGCTCTGCTGTGTGCCTGGGGGAGCCAGGAATGCAGAGATGCGTCAGACAGACCCAGGCCGCCCACAGGGGCTCATGGCGGGCCGTGGGTGGGGACAGGTGTACTGCGGTGCCCAGGAGGCACAACCAGCCCGGCCGGGGAAGGCTTCCCTGTGGAGGCAGCATTTGGTTCTGGGAGCAGGGAGCCACATGCAGGCAGTGGGTCACGGAGGCCGGCGCAGGTTGTACGGCTTCCCAGAGACCCAGCCAGGCAGGATCCTGCCTCCGCAGCACCCCTTGCTGCCCCGTGTTTAGATCTGATTCGGCATCAAAAGCAAATACATTGTCAAGATAGCGGCCAACTTGGATGCCACCCACGAGCAGCCCTCTCTGTGACACCAGAAAGGCAGCAGCTCTGTGTGGACCCCACGGGGTCCGGGCAGAGCCGTGACTGCCTACGTCTGGCTGCCAGGCACGGCCACCCACAGAGGCTTGCAGCATCAGTGCCTCCTACCAAATACAGCAGAAAAATGCACGCACAGCCAGGCACTGTTCATCTTATAGGAAGGCTGCTTCCTACCAGGGTGGGCCACAGTGCCAGGTGTGAGTGGGAGGACTGGGGAGAGAGAGAGAGAGAGAGATCAACCCAGCCGGCCAGAGCGCCTGGCAATGTCTGCGGATGCTGCAACAGGAGGAGAGGGGAGACAGCCGTGCCATGGGAACTGGGACTGGGAAGGCCTCTGGACCGTCTTAGTAAAGACTCCAACCTCCAAACCATAAATAACTTCTAGTTACTGATGACGTGCTCACTTTGTGCAGGTACAGTGTGAAATACTTTATCTTCTCTCTCTCTCTGAGTGACCACCTGAGGGATGGATACACCATCATCCCATTTCACTGGTGAGAAAACCAAGGGCCAAAGAGCACGAATAGCTAGGTATGGTGGTATCTGCCTATCCCCTACCCACCCTGGCTTCCTGCCCTGCCTCATGCTCCCTGCCTCCTGCACAGGCCCCTGGTGCCCGCCATCCCAGAGGTCAAGGCCATGGGTTGCCTGGCCTTGAACGTCCAGCCTTCCGAGCTAAGCTCAGTGATCTCCTTGATGTGTGCATGCCCAGCCTCAGGTGTTACAGCCACGGAACGCAGACCAGAGCACATTTTAAAGGTGCTGTTACATCTGGGGAAACTGAGGCTCAGGGAGGTCACTCAGCTTGGCAGAGCCTGGACAGGCCACACGAGGGTCACAGTCCCTTCCTGTGTGGCCCCTACCTGGGTCTTATGTTGGTTCCCAGGGATGGGGCTGTGGAGCAGAGTCTGGGAGTGGATCAAAGACACCCCGACTTCCGGTCCAGCTGAGGACCAACTCATCTTCCTTGGCTCCATCCCACTGGAGCACAGCAGAGAGGAAGGAGGACGGGGAGGAAGGGGCCCTGCACCCTGCTAAGCTGCAGCCAGCTCCTGAGTCAGGGAGCCTCCGCTGGAACTTGACCCAGAACCTCAGTGTCCAGTCTTGGTGTGGCAGGGTGAACTTGGAGGATTCTGGGCCCGAAGGTCAGCGCCGGTGCAGAGCCGTTCCTGGCGGAGGCCTGGCCCCAAGCCCGGGGCTCCAATGGGACGCAGATGAGTGCTCCCTCCCAGCGTCCATTAGCCTTGTCACATGGGGCCCTGGAACGTGGGTCTCGGAGGACTCCAGATGTGTCCTGAGGCTGGGGCTGGGACAGGTGGCCTCATGAAGGCCTCATAAACACCCCATGTGCCGCCTCGGGGGACCCAGGGTGAAGGAGGTTGCACAAGGTTCTGGCAGCCGCTAGTGGGCTATGGAAATGCTGTTTTTGTCCCGCCAGGCCGGGGGCTGGGAACCCTGGGCTGCACGGGCACAGACCGCTGCCGCACCGGGCAAGCTCCGCCTCCTTCCATATTGTCAGTGGCCGTCACAGGTGCCATGGGCCATGTGAGGCGGGGGTAGGACCAGAGGGGCCTCTGAGGCCCTTCAGAGCTCACAGCAACGCCAGGCAGCACCTGCGTCTTTCAGCCGTGCCCATACACTGGTCATCTTCTCCCGAGCCCAAACCATCGAGGAAAGTGTCATGTCCATGGTGCAGATGGGAAACTGAGCAGGCTGATCGCGGCTGCTTGAACTCACTGTGTGGACTCAGAGCTCTGAACTGATCTGTCATGTGAGAGGAGGCCCCCAGCTTTCAGGAGGCCTTGGAGCTGGTGCTAGTGGTGGGCAAGATGGGACCAGGAGTGAGTGGGACATGGCCAGGCTGGGGCTGAGTGAGCAGCTATGTCCCTCAGGTGTGTCTGGAGGACCAGGAGGCCAGGAAGGAGGACCCGCTGAGGTGTGGATCCTGCCCACCATGGGTATGACACAGAGGCAGGAAGGGGCTTCCGCTCACCATGCAGCAGGTGCTGACCAGGGGCTGTGCAGACAGGAAGACCCTGGCCTGCTTCCGCCCAGGGACCCGGCTCCAATGTCCCCTCTCCTGGGCACCTGGCCCACTGGTGGCTGATGAGCCCCGTCCCTCCACGCCTGCCACCAGGTCCCTGCTTTTCTAACTACCCTTCCAGTGCCCCCAGTCTCGAAGGCTCCTTGCTGTCAGCCAGCAAGGGAAGGAGCAGGGGGCACTCTGGGGGTCGCTGTGTGTACGGGGCAGGGGAGCAGGTCAGCGCTGGGATTGGCAGGCAGGCACTGGGCACAGAGATGGGTTCAAACTGGGGTCTGGGGGTGCGGGGCCTGTTGGAGTTTGTCCTGGCCTGGGGTGAGATGCCAGGGGCAGGGATGGGGCATGCAGCTGGCAGTGGGTACCCTGGAATGGGCAGGTGGCACTGCCAGAGGCTAGGTCAGGACAGACACTAGGCAGGCAGTCCAGGGGAGACCAAGACCCAACGTGGCGCGGGGCTGGAGCAGTGTTCTGCCAGCCCCCTTGGGCCCAGCCCCTCTGAGCCTAAGCCTGCGGCTTTCAAGTTGGAAACGGAGAGCACCCCCTCGGGGGTCCTCACCAACAAGCTGCCTGCGGCTCCTCCACTCCTTCCTGGCAAGGGCACAGCTATCTTCTGACCAGGTGCCCATGGCCAACCACACTCAGAGCCACCAGCACCTGGATCCCGACTGCCCATAGGAGGCTCTCCCGAGTCCCCAAGGCACTGGGCAGGCCCCGGCTGCCACACTGTCCCTGAGGCCACCACAGCAGCTGAACCTGGCCCTGAGCCTCAGATCCTCCAAACTGGGAGGAACAGGAAGTTCTGCATGCCCCTCCCTGACCCCTGTCCATCACCCAGCTGCTTTCAGTGTGGGGTGTGCCCAAAGGCCCCCGATGCTTCTGGAGCCAGTGGCCCAGGGCACAAGCATGGTCAAGGCTCTCATGTTCCTCCTTCCCAGCATGGTGTGCCCCAACAGGCAACTCAGTGCCCGGCTCCCAGCCTCCCTGGGCTGTGTCCCTGGAGAGCCTGCTGTTTGTACCTTCCTGCCTCAGTTTCCCCTCTGTCAGGCAGGCTGCAGTGAGGGATGAAGGCTGGGCTCTAAGGCCTGGGCTCCCAGGGCAGCCAGAGGCCGCAGCACAGTACAAGCACAGCCACAGCAGGACGAGGCATGCCAGTGGCCCGAAACCTCGGAGCCGGAAGCATCGAGAGCTGAGACTTGTCCCCAGCGGCCTGATGTGAAGCCGACCCTGCAGCACCAGGCGGCCTGGGGACTGGCAGTTGCACGATGCTCTGCCGTCACGGAAACCCACAGAGGCACCACCACCTCTCAGCTCGTTTTCCCCACAACATGCTAGATGAGGGCCCCCAGGAAAAGCCAGCCAGTGGGGCATGGGCCACCCTAATGACCCAGAGCCAAGCGCCATGTGCTTGTAAACTTTAATTCCATACAGTAGAGAAACAGACAGTACAGCCATGGCAGGTCCATGGCGGCAAAGTGTTCAAGCACCCTCGGGTGGCGTGCCAGGTCTTCAGGAGCGCCCGCTGGCTCTGGGCCGCCATCTGCTACACCCTGGGCTGCGTGGGGAGGTGGAGCCGGCCCAGTCCTCATGGCTGGCGGTCCCAGCTCCTCTCCTAGTGCCCTATGGTCACCTCGGAGGACGGCTCCTCCGGCCACCAGGTTGTGTGCCTGCCACTTCCTGTCCCCTGGGAGAGCACACCTTAAGGCCAGTGCAGGGCATGGCTCTACAGCGGGGACGTTCACTGGGCACCTGCACCAGGCTAGGCCTTCAGGTCGGACTCCTCCAGGGGCCAGCTGTGCGCCTGCCTGCGGGGACTGCGGGTGGCGGGCCGAGCAGCCCCTGTCACATGCTTTGGTGGGTCCACCTGCCACTCACTGCAGCCGGGGGAGCCAGTGCGGGCTCAGAGTGACAATGTTCAGGATCTGAAGGAGAGGCTGAGGGTCGGGCAGGAGCTGGGGACAGGGTGGACTTCGGGGCACGCAGGAGTCCTCTGGGTCCCAAGAATCTTCACCTGTGCTCCGGGGACACCTGGCTTCCCTTGCTGGACTGGGCTTCGGGATTGAGGCTGAGATTCCGGCCCCGCCTTGGCCTCTGCTCCTGGACTGGCCTCACTGCTGCTGGCCTCACTGAGGACCACGTGGTCCTTCGTCCTGACCCTGGGGAGGAGTCCTCCATCGCCACCTGCGGCTCTGGCTCTGGTGCCTGGCGCAGAGGGAGCAGAGCCTCACAGGACCACCTCGGGCACGATGCTGAACAGGAGGTCATCGTTTCCCCGCCGCACCTCCAGCAGCAGCGGGGACTCGGTCAGCACGGCCTCCTGCAGCTCGCTCGAGTCCGCCAGGGGGCGCCCGTTGACTTTGACGATGATGTCGCCATCTTGGATGCCGCCCCTGCCAAGGGCCAGACACGGGGTCACATGTGTGGCCTCAAGAGGCTGGGCCACGCTCAGACACACACACGGTGCATAGACAACGGGGTCGCGGTGCTGACCACTCTGCAGCACAGGGCTTTGCAGAGGAATCAAGGCTTCATCTCATTTGACCTTGCAGCCTCTGTGGAGACAGGCAGAGCCTTCTCGTTTCCCAGGGGAGGCCTGAGGCTGTGCCCTGGCTGGGGACCATAAGACTGGAGGTGGTTCTCAGCCAGGGCAGGGACTCCTCAGCCTCGCTTCCCGGAGGAAGGGCCACTTGGGGCCCAGGATGGGCACAGCGAGGTGCAGTAGGAGACCAGTAAGCTCCCCAGGGAGAGGCAGGGTCTCTTCCACATGGCTTTGCAGGCGGCTCAAGGACTGGGAGCTCAGGTAGGATGCCCAGAGTGGGCCCCAGCTCCAATGCCACCCTCCAGGCTGTCAGCTGGCCTCCCCCAGCCTCGCTGCCCAGCTGGCAGGGCCTACCTCTGTGAGGGAGAATTGGGGGAGACCTCCTGCACATAAATGCCACTGCTGACTTCTGGGAAGTCCGGGTTGCTGGCCTTCAGCTCCTCCACCAGGCTGAAAAGGAAGCAAGGCCTGTGGCCTCCTCTGGGCCTCTACGCCAGCTCCTGGCATGAAGCTGCTCACTGCCCACCACCGCCCAGGCCAGAGGAGCAGCCTCCCCAGGCACCCACATGGTCCTGCCCACCGCCAAGGCTCTGTCCCCACCAGGCACGCACGGGTGCCTCAGGAGAGACCTGGGAGCCATGGGCGGTGACAGTTGCAATGGGGTGGATGGACAGATGGGTGGGAAGAGGAGGTAGACAATCAGTGGATGGGTGGGTGGATGCAGGGAAGGGTTGGAGGAAAAACACAGAGGGGAGGAGGGAGGAGGACCCCAGGACGTGGGTCTAAGAGGACCTTGGAGGAGCAGGACAGATCCACTGGGCAACGCAGCCCAGGCGTCTGAGCAGAGGTCAGGCCCGGCGGGCAGGGTCAGGAACAGGCCACGCGGGCAGAGGCCGAGGTGGAGGCGGCCCGTGCTCACCTGGGCGTGATGGTCCTCATTCGGATGCCGATGAAGCGCTTCTTCCAGTCTGGAAGGAGAGAGTGAGGCTGGGTGAGGGCTGCAGGAGGAAGGCTGCCCTCCGGAGACCGGAACAGCAGGGGCGCCCTGCTCCACAGTGCTGGGGTGTTGGGCCCTTCCAGCCTCTGCTGCCCGGAGCTCTCCTCCCTGCGAGCCCTCTGCACCCCCAGACTGGCAGGGCTCCCCCCAACTCCACGCTGCTGCTCCCCCAGATGTGTTTGCTCAGAACAGAACTCACCTCCCTGCCCAGCTCACGGATACCACCCTGGTGGGCAACGCCCGCGGGCACAGCACGCCAGGCCCCTCTGCCCTCTGCACACTGCAGCCCCGGCAGGTGACTGGGACTCTGGAGCAGGTTGCCCCAAGGGGTCTGCATGGCACTGTGAGACTCCACACACGTGAAAATGTCACCTCACAAAGGTGTCCTGACCACAATGGCATTAAACTAGACAACAGTACCAGGAGGAGGAAGTCTCGGACAGCATAGCTCAGCAGGGGTGAGAAGGGTCTGCTGCTCCATCCTCGGAGCTGGGGGAGGGCAGCTCAGGGAGCCCAGAGCGGAGTGAAGCAGAAGGACCCAGAAAATGACTGAAAGCAGCAGCGCATGCCTCGAGATCAATAAAGCTGGTAAATCTTTAGCCCTGATCAGGAGCAGGGTAGGGAGGAGCCAAGCGCCACCGGGAACAATCGGGGTGTCACAGGACACCCGGCGGTCAGTGAATCGGATGCCAGGAAGCGCCAGAACACCAACCAGCCCCACGCACGAAGCCCTCGCACACGGGATGCGGGTCCCGCAGGTCCCAGCACGGAAGGGACCTGAGCAGCCCTGCTTCTGTTAAAGGCGTTGAATCCAAGCCTAAAAATCTTCCCCCTGACGGCGTCAGGCTGCCCTGTGTTACTGCAGGACCGGATCAGCTGATGGAGGAAGAGGCGGCACGGGGACAGGGAGGGACAGACCGCCCAGCCCCAGCCACGAGGGAACACCAGCCCTGTGCTCATCCACGGAAATGACCTTAAACACGTTCAGCAAAGCAAATCCAGCAGATCTATGAAGGACAGCACATCACGGCCGAGAGACTCACCCAACATGTGCGAAGGGGCCTCAACATTCAAACCTCAGCCAGGGCCAAGCACTGGCTTTGGGTCAGTGTGAGACCACGCCAGGATCTTGGTAGACAAGCGCTCACTTCCATTCCTAACCAGCAAGAGGGAGATGGCAGATACCCACAACCCGACACAGGACATCTATTAAAACCTAAGCAGTGTCCAGGCAGGGGGGCACACACCTATGACCCCAGCACCCGGGAGGCTGAGGCAGGAGGATGGCCTTGAATCTGAGCCCAGCCTGGGTGTCATAATGAGTTCAGGCCAACATGAACTACATAGCGAGACCCTGTCTCAAAAACAGACAGACAGACAAACACCTAACGTGGTGCTTAGAGAGGAAGAGCGGCTCTTTCCTCTCGAAGCTCAGCGACAGGACGAGGGTGTCTCCCCTCACCGCTTGCATTTCATAATTTTTACAAATTCCAGTCAGGCAAGGGAAAAAAGCCTTCTGATTAGCATCAAGGAAGGAGGAATCAAGGTGAAACTTCGAGATTAGTTGGACCCAGTAAGTCAGCACGTTCAGAGGACACCTGTGATCTCACCCGAAGAGCGCCTTCATTTGTATATTCTCAGGTCAACCGCCAGAAATCAACCTGCATATTAAAACCCTTAAGTTTGGCCCACACTTGTGATTCCAGGATCCTAGGAGGCTGAGGCAGGAGGATCATCTTGAGTTTGAGGCCAGACTGGGCTACACAGTGAATTCAAGGCCAATCCGGACTACACAGGGAGACCCTGCCTCAAAAAAAAAAAAAAAAAAAAAGTGAAAGGAAACAGAAAAGACCCTCTGACAGGTGGCAGGAGAAGAGGCTGTGGAAATGGCTCTGAGATACACAGACAAGGGGACCTTCCCCTCGCAGTCTCTCTTCTTGCATGGCAAAGTGCGGTCTCTTCAGCAGTGCCAGAGCCGCTGGGTCTCCAAGGCAAACGCACACAGCACGAGCCTCTGATCCAAGCACAGTCCCGACCCCGGGCCCCGGGGACCAACACTTCCGGGGGGACTCTTTCTAAGCTTGGGTTTGCAGAGATCACTGAGATGCAGTCCAGTGCATGGTCCCTTACCACAAATCCAGCTACCCCTCAGCCAGGGTGTGGCTCAGTGGAGAGCACTTGCCTAGCACATCGAGGCCCTGGGTTCCGCCTCTGGTACCACCAAAAAGAAAAAGGAAAAGAAGTTTTCACAAAGCCAACGCTTTTCAAAACACCCCTGCCTCTGCTGGGCACTGGGGCTGAACGCCTCTGCCAGGAGGAACCCTGCTTACAAAGAAAGGGCACAACGGAAGCTAGGAACAGGAAGCGGATTTCTGCACATGGCAAGAAGCATCCTTTACGTCTCCCTGACTCAATGAAAAGGTGGATTTTTAGGGAATTTAGGTTAACTGGGTTTGGATCATTTGATATTTTTATTTTTTTAAAAAAGGAAGCAAAGTAATCCCAACCCCAGCTTTGGAGGCTTTTACATCTCTAGATCCATCACTCAGCTAAGACCCGTGGCCTTCTGCGGGCCCTGGCAGGGAGACAGGTGCCGGACAGGGACAGGGGCAGGGGCAGGGGCAGGGGCAGGGGCAGGGGCAGGGGCAGTCCTTCAGCAGCACGAACCCGGGACCCTGGGGCTCTCATTTGAGAGGAGAGGAGAAAGGAGAGAACGGCAAGCAGCTAGGACCCCACTGCTATGCAAAGGCCACCCCAGCCTGACAGCCCCAGTGACTCTGGCACCCAGAGGGCGGAGGCCAAGCCCCAGTCCTTAGAGAATAGGACGGCCCCACTGTCCAGGGGAGTTGCCATCATCCAGGCCATCTTCACCCCAGCCTCGGGGTCCTCCAGGGCAGTTCCTCCCAGCGATCGATCTTCACAGTGCCGCCCTCATCTGCCCTGGGCTGCAGGTGCTTAGCGGTGGGGTGGTGGAGGAGGGGTGGGCACAGAGAAGCCCCGAGGTCAGTGCAGTGCTGGTGAGAGGGCTGCAGGAGACAAGGGGCATGTGAAGGGGCAGGCGTGGCCCAGAGCAATGAGCTGAGCAGGGAAGCCCTGAGGCTGAACGGGGAGGTGACGACCCCCAAGAGGAAGGGCACAAGTGTCCACGCGCCTGCTGGGACAGACACTGGAGACCCGGCAAGGGTGCTGGGGGCACGGAGCAGACAGGGTGGGCTGGCACCGTGGGACAGGTGGGCAGACAGAAGCCAGCAGCAGGGTAACTTCCGAGGGCCACAGTGCTGGCTCTGCTCCACTGGAATGGAGGCCCCCCTACAGGAGGTTGGCATGCTGGCACGGGGACTCATGCAGCCACAGGCTGATAGAAGGGTGCTGGCAGGGTGGGCAGAAGGAAGGAGGAAGGAAAGGAGGGAATGGAATGGACAGGCGGATGTGTGAGTGGGTGAGTGGGTGGATGGACGGATGGACGGGTGGATGTGTGATTGGATGGATGGACAGATGGACGGATGGATGGATGGATAGATAGATGGGTGGATGGATGGGTGTGTGAGTGGAGAGATGAATGGATGGATGGACGGATGAGTGGATGGGCAGTTAGACTGGTGGGTGGATGGGTGGACAAGTGGATGCATGCAAAACTGATGCATGAGAGTGTGGCTGGGGGAGGATGGACAGATGGATGGGTGGCCAAGAGGACGATGATGATGGATGGATGGTCAGAAGTGAGTGAGAGGGGGGACAGGTTGAGTGGCCAGCTGGGTGGGTCAGGGCGCCGGAAGCACTGGGTTCTGACTACAAGAAGCAGGATGGGAAGAGTCCTGGAGTCCAGGCTGGGATAGTCCAGCCCTCAGCCTGGGGAAGCTGCCTGGTGGAAGCTGCCTGGGGAAGCTGCCTGGTGGCAGGGCGGGCACCGCCCACAGGCCTCGCAGGTGAGGACCTCGCCCAGGCTGCCTGCCTCCCCCGCCCGAGGGGCGCTCGCACCTTTGCCGTGCTTGTCCTGGAACTCGGACAGGAAGCGCGTGATGCGGTCCGAGGGGATGGCGAAGGAGATGCCAGCGGTGACCTTCAGGGTGTTGATGCCGATGACCTCACCGTCCTGGGCAGGGCGATGGGAGATGGTTACCAGGGGCCCCCGAGGCGCGGTGCCCCAGCCCCCCTCCCCATGTCCACACTACCGTGGACGCCCTGACCCTCACAGTGACCCTCTGGGGGCAGCCCCAGCTGTCCCAAAGGGGTGCTCTCAGGCCACAGGTGCTCAGCAAGCCCCCTCTCCTGCTGCAACTCCCTGATCATCCCTGGGAGCAGTTTCTGGGGTGCTCATGGCTCTTTTCGCTCCTACCCCCAGCTCTCTGCCCTGAGGAAACAGCACTCACTGGAGCCAGGACATCATGAGGCCACCTTCTGCCAGCTGGGAGGCAAGGGACAGCAGCCCCCCAGTTACCCTTTCCTCCAGGAAGGCGGGCAGTAGGTCAGGGCGGCCCCACAGCACCCCACTCCTGCCCATCCTTGACCTTGCTCAGGAAGCAGCCCTTCTAGCCAGTGTATGCTCCGATCTGCACCCTGGCCATAGCTGGGGCCCATAATCTGGAGGGGCCGTGGACAGGTGCAGTGTCCTCCTGGTCTCCGAGGCTCTGAGGCGGGCGGGCCAGGCTAGCAGGGGACCCAGGGACCGAGGCTCTGGCTCCAGCCTCAGCCTGCTTCCCCACCCCACTGCCCAGGGGACCACAGTGGCTCTGGCTCCTGGGCCTGGCTCCTGGGTGCAGTTGAAGCCTCGCTTGCACAGGCGGCCCCAGGCCACCTCCTGACCCCCTGCCTGGGCCTCTGCAGGCCCCTGGCACACTGCACCCTCCCTCAACCTCGCCTGCTCGCCTGCTGAGACCCCTCCACCTCCAGGAAGCTCATCTCCACAGCAGCCAGAGGCCTCCGCGTCCCTCCAGAGCCATCTTGTAGCCCTCATGCACTTGGGTCCCAACAGCCACCTCCCACTCCTGGGCGAGCCCTCCGAGGCCAAGACTTCACCAGAAGGGAGCTGAACTCCTGGTCTTCTGGGAAACCACGTGGGCAGAAGCAGCCTGACCCTGGGGTCAGAGCTAGGGACAGTGACTGAGCCAGGGTCTCCGCAGGGGGCCCAGGGCAAGCCAGCCTGGCCTGGCCCTCGAAATCCCTGCCACTGTGGGGCTCCAGCAGGCCGCTGTTCCCTCTCCAGAGTCACCATTGTCCCCAGGAGCCAATCACAGCCCCAGAGCTGGGCCTGCAGCCTTTGGGGCCACACTGCTGGGCCCCATTTTGAGGTGGTGCCCGTGCGACCAGGGCCCCAGAAACAAGAGACTCACCAGGTTCACCAGAGGTCCCCCGGAGTTCCCGTACTGCAAGAGAGGAAATGGGGTTCAGCCAGGCCCCTAGCCCCCCAGCTCCGGCTCTAGCCAGGAACAAGAAGCACCCAGCTCCAATCACAGCAAGGAAAGCAGAGGGCGGACACAGCATGAGGAGGAGCCTGAGCTACAGGGACTCTGTGACCAAGCCACAGGCTTCGGTGCCTTTGCCATTGGGCAGCACCACCGGACACACATGGAGTGGGCGGTGCCCTCCGTTCTCAGACGCTGAGGGTCCCGCACTGAGACTTGGCAGACACAGAGGCACCTACTGGTGGTGCGGGCAGAGCTCTGTGAGGGCTCGGGGTGGTGACGTAACCCTGACTTTTCTAGCTGGTGGGTGTCAGGTGATAAGCAGGTTCTGAGATAGGGAGGAGCCTGCCGGGGACCCACATTGATGATGGCGTCCGTCTGGATGTAGTCCATGTCCGAGTCCCGCAGGCCCAGCTGCTTGCCGTCCCGCTGGGCGCTGCTGACAATGCCCGTGGTCACCGTGTTCTGCAGGGCAAAGGGGCTGCCAATGGCCACCACGAATTCGCCAGGCCTCAGGTCCGCAGAGTTGCCCAGCAGCAGCACTGGGAGCTTTTTCTGAGGAGGGAGGATGAGGAGAGGCCTCAGGCGACCCAGAACCCGGCTGAGCATGCTCCCGTGTGCTCGGTGTCCCCAGGACCGCACCGGTGCCCCCTACCTGGGTCTTCTGGGCTCGCGGCTGTGAAGGCAGCCATCCCCACCAGGCCTCGCCACTCACCTTGGGGTGGATCTCGATGGTGGCGATGTCAGACTTCTTGTCAATGTGCTTGATGGTGGCCTCGTAGGAGTCCCCGTTCTGCAGCTGCACCTTGAGCTGCTGCCGGCCGGAGGCGGCCTTGTTGCTGGTCACCACATGGGCGTTGGTGACGATCAGGCCAGCCTCTGACATAATGAAGCCGGAGCCGCTGGACTGGGGCACATTGCGGCCAAACAGGGGGTGTCTGCAAGGGTTGGGGGGTGCTCAGGGCAGGGCCTCGGACTTGGGGAGTGGGGTACGGGGTGAGGGGCATGTGGCCCACACAGGTTGCGGTCATCCCGGAGCTGCAATGTGCTGTGATGACCTGGCGCCCGGGGACAGTCAGGCTGTGCTGACCCACAGCAGGTTCTGGTAGCCCTGACCCAGGGAAGTCCAGCCAGACAGATTCTGGCCTCCAGGCTGGCTTGGCTTGGGATTGGCACAGCATAGACACGGATGGCAGCCCTAAGGCTGCCAAGCAGAGAGGAACGGGAAGGGACCCAGTGGCCTGTGGAGCCAAGACAGGAAAACCCCCCAGGGCAGCGTGGCTGACCCATGGTGGGGACAAGATGATTTCTGCAAAGCCCAAGGCGTCACCCAGCCTGGGGGGGAGCAAGACAGCAGCTGGTGCCCCGGGCTCTCCCTCAAGCCAGGCACAAGTTCCCTCTGGGCTGTGTCCCCCAGTGATGCCCCAGGTCCAACCCTGAGCCACACATGGGGCTCATGGGGGAACGGGGTCTTCACAGGGGTTCCAAGGTGGGCCCCACACTTGCGGAGCAGCGTTCTCGCCTGCAGGAGGCTCGGACACACACACAGGGCGCAGGCCACCAAAGACAGGTGGACGCGCACCTACAGGCTAGGGAGCCCCAGGATCGTCGGGAACCCATAGGAGTTGACAGAGGCCTGGAAGACTGACCTCTGAGTCCCCGAAAGGCCCAGCCCTTCCTGCACCCTGGCCCCAGGACAAGGAGATGATGGCTTCTGCTCCTGAGGCCCTGGAGCTAAGGCAGTCCCTGCCAAAGGTCCCTTTAAAGGAGGGGAAACAGGCCCAGAGATGCTGGACTGCTTGTCTGGGCAGGGAAGCAGGTGTCACTGCTCAGCTGCCCTCCATGGTGACCCAGCCTCTGTCCCCAGGTGGCTGCCTTGGTCCCAGAGGTCTGCAGCATCCAGTGCCTGGCATGAGCGGGCTGAGGGGCCCTGTGGCCTCCATATCCACACCTGGATCAGGGTCATGACCCGGAGGCCTCGCCCCCCTGCCTTAGATTGTCATCTCTGAGGCTGAGAAGTGACATGGCCACCCGCCAAGCCATCCAGGGCTGGTGTCCCAGGCCTGCCAGGGAGAGGCTGCTGCCCTCCCAGCCGTCAAGAGGTGGGGATGTGCCACTTAACACAGATAGCTGTAATTCCCTGGTGACACATCTGGGGGACCGGGGCCCAAGGGAAGGCAGGGAGGGGCTGCCAGGGTGCAGGGACACATATGGCTCTGGGTTTGGAGCCCCGTCCACCCTGCAAGGCCCCCAGGGGCCTGGGTGTCTTCAGACCTTGGCTTCCAGTTCCAGGAAGTGGGAACCACATGGCTACTCCAGGTGCTGCTGGGAGACATAGCGCAAACCAAGGTACAGGAGGGCTCTGGGGTGCCAGGGGCCCCGGGGTTGAGTCCTGGTGAGCCTGGCTACCTTCTTTGCAGTGGGCACTCTTGGGCTGCAACAGGTGCTGCAGGAGCCCCCTGCGTGGGACATGGGCTCTGACCCCACAAGGGGCTGTGACACCCAGGAAAAGGAAGCCCTGAGCTGGACCCGGCACCCTTTCGGGGTCAAGCAGAGGAGCCGGGCAGCCAGGCTGCCGATCCCAATCAGGACCGGCGGGCTCCCTCCTGTCTGACGCCTGCTGCCACCTGCTGCCCTGGCTCTGTCCACGCCCAGGGCCTCGGGCTAAGAAAGGGCAAGGCCGCCCTTTCTTCCTGCCTGTGCTTCTGGGGTCTCGGTCAAGGCAGGAAGAGACCGGGACTGTGTGAGAAATGAGACCTGGGGGCTGGGGTCAGGGAGGGGGCACCCAACACCGCAGGAGCTGCAGGGGACTTGTGGAGCGGGGTGGGACCCCACACACCTCAGGAAGAGCTCGATGTGGACCACGGCGGGCGCTATCTTCTCCACCACATCAGCGATGAAGTTGAACTTGTACCGTGGACTGCTCACCTGGTGGAGACCTGCGCTGGCCAGAAGAACCAGGCGTGTGAGGGGCTGAGCCCGGGCTTCCCCTGAGAGAACTGCACTGTGGGCCTTGCCATGTTGCCTGTTGAGGACTCGGAGGTCAGGGCTCGAGCCTAGGACAGGTGCAGACCTGGCCCTGGTCAGGGTCCTGGCCTCTGCCTGCTTCACAGCACACAGCGCTCTCCCCTCGCGGGCTGGTGAGCCCGGCTGGGTGCGGGGACTGATACGGGCTCAGTGGGACCTTGGGCCGCACTTCCAAGCCAGCCCTGCCCCTGGCCACTGGGCAGCCTTCCAGACTGGCCCGGCAGCCCTTTGGTGTGGCCAGGCCCCCCACATCCGTCCACTGGGCCTCGGCCCAGCCCCACAGCATGGTCCCTGGCACAGCTGTGCCGGGAGCTCAGGGTCCCAGCTTTTGTCACATGCACCGCTCAGGGCCCCCAGCTCAGCCGCTTCTACAGTCACTGGCCTGGGTGCCCTTCGGGGGCTGTGGGAATGGGGTGCCCACAGACTTGCAGACAGAAGCTCCCGCACAGGGCAAGCACAGGAAGCTGAGATGTCTGCCTCCATACCGGCCCGGGGCCTGGCCAGCCTGAAGCAAAGGCTGCCATCTGGGAAGCCATGGCCAGGCCAGGAGGCGACAGTGCCTGGGGTCCACGTTGCAGAAGGAAACCCCAGCACAGAGCCACAGGTCTGGAGACCACAGGGGTGGCCACTCCATGAATAGGCCTCCCTGCACCCCAACTTCGGGGCCTCCCAAAACTCTGCAGAGTGGGTGCTAGGCCCCCACACTGCACCAGGGCTGTCCCCTGAATCCCCACCTCATAGTCCTGGGGCTCGGACTCCCTGCCCCAGCCCACCTGACACACCCACATTGACGGTTCTTAATCCCAGGGCCTGGCAGATCCAGAACCCGGGTTCTGCGCACCCAACACACTGTGTCGGGCAGATGTTCAGAGACCCAGGGGTCACCTTTGCAGGGTGGCCTCCGAGACACCACACACCCGCCCTACTCCACTGAGATGCTGGGCCAGCCATGGCCTCTCCACACAGCGCCTGTGATCACCTTCCTCATGGCGACTCAGACATGGAGGACTGCTGTAGTGAGGGACGGGCGGGTGACCACAGGGGCCACATGGCATGTCCAGGGAGGGAAGGGAGGATGCTGGGAGCAAGGTGGACACACAGGGATGCCAACCAGGCTTGGAAGACATTGGCAGCCCCAGGGCCAGCCTGAAGGCTGCCGCAGATGTGACCACGATGGAGGACAGAGGGAGATGTCCCTTCCCACTGCACTGAGCAGGACAGGCAGCCTCGGGTGAGACATCAGAGGAGCTGGACATCTCTGCCTGGCCCACCTGGCCTCCAGGAACCTGGCAGCCTACGCCAGGCCCTGGGCCTGTCTGCTCAGCTCAGTCGGAGTTTGGGGACCAGATCCCCCACCTCACTCTGTACTCAGTGATCTCTGGACAATACCTGGCAGGACACGGAAGCAGCAGGGTGGACACAGGGGCCCAGGGACTCCTGAGCTTCACCCATAGGCTGGTCATGCAGAGCTGAGAGTGGGGTCACAGATGCGTGGAGCGGGCACAACACCCCAGGGATGGGGACAGTCTGGTCCCTGTCCCCAGCAGTGCAGGGCGGGTGGGAGGCCACGCTGGGCTCACGCACCAAGGATGTCCAGTCTGTTAGGACCCTAAGCAGCAGTGGAGGCCCACTTCACAGCCAGGCAAAGTGAGGCTGGGGACCCAGCACCCTTCTTGGGGCAGCAGGCCTGGCCGTGGCCCGGGGTTGGGACGGGCAGCCTGGGGAAGACCCTGCAGGCCCAGACAGGCCTGGCCCTTTAAGGCAGCTCCAGCATGAGTCAGTGGTGGGTGAGTCAGGAGGAGCGGCTGGGAGCAGACTGTGTTTATTTGGGGTTTGGAGAACCCGCCCCCATGCCACTGGCCAAGACTCTGAAGTCAACAGACTCAGATGCGACTGCTGTGTTTTGTGTTTTTGTTTCAAAAACAAATTCAAGTGGAATCTGAAGGCTCCGACGGTTTGGTCGGTGTGAGAAGCAAGGAGGCCAGGTGCCCAGCGGTGCCTCTCGGGACAGCGGGGACAGAAGCCCAGTCTCCAGCCCCGACTGAGGCCAGGAGCTGGCTGCCGAGGCGTAACTGCCACGGGAGAGATGGGGAAACCAAGGCCCACAGTGGGAACACGAATGAGCCAGATACCCTGGACGGCTGCAGAGGTTCCACACTCTACAAGCAAGGGCAGCACGGTCCACTTCCCGTGGAGTTGTGCAGTGTTCAACCTGCACAGCTGTACGCAGCAGTCCCTCCAACACAGGACTAAACTGCAGGGCTGCTGCTGGGTTTGGCTACTCAGGCACAAGGCCTCACTCCGCTACCTCCCTGGCGTAGCCTCACAAGCCACCTAGGTTCTTTGCACTCGGTTTCCTCATCTGTAACAAGGCCGGCAGAGGATGGTTCTAATGTGCCGTGCATGGCCTGAGGACTAATGGGGTCGGTGCCCATGAACCTAAACCCTGGAGAGTGTGGGAGGGCACAGTGTTGGCCTGGGACGCCCCAGGGTCACCTGGCTGGAGGGTCAGGCAGGGAGGCTCCCCGGAGGAGGAGGCCCAGCCGGCTGAGGGCCCTGGTACCACCCAAGGCGGCAGGCGGCAGGACTCCTGCCCCATGGGGTGGGTGTGGGATTTCACAGGCAACGCAGCCAGGCCCGACCCCAAGCCCGTGCCAGGCCAAGCTGGCTCCCGAAGCCCAGATGAGGCCCATCATGGGGCAGGGCAGCGATCAGGGTGGGGCAGAGGGGCCTGGCTGTGCATCCAGGGCGGCTCCCAGACCCCTGGGACCGTTTTCTCACTGATTCCTGCTGAAGAACTGTGGCAAGAACTCATGAGCTCACGGTGCTGAGGGCCAGTCCCGTCACCGTGACCCTGTGACCATGGGACATGCCAGAGGCGGCCCCTTGTGTCAGGCTAGGGCTCCCACCGTCCCGGCCCTGTGGAGGAGCTGGCCTGAGGGCCCCGGGAAGCACTGCAGCACAAGCTGGAGAGGGCGGACGCCCACAGTGGGATGGAACTCACGGGCACAGGCGAGGAGGAGCGAGTGGCCTGGGGACCGAGCAGGGGTGGCCACTGAGGAGGTTCACTTGGTGGCCAGGTCCACAATCATGGGCAACGTGGCTCACAGAGGCCTTGTCTCCACAGCAAAGACAGGGCCTGGACCTCATTCCACTGCCCTGCCCACCCCAGTGTCTAATCAGGTCACACGGGGGACTGTGTCCTCCTCTGGGGACCTGGGCCACATGAGTCGTGGCCACAGCCCCTGTGCCCGCCCCACGGCCGGGGTCCCCACACCAGTGGCGTCCTGGACACCAGACACCTTCCCACACACGTGCCCCATCCCACTGGATGCCCCTGCAGAGCCCTGGTGGGAACCGTCCCCAAGCCTGCCCTCTGCCGAGGCCACACCCTCACGGCCACCACCCCAGCTGTCCTGAGACCCAGGCTGTGGAATCCCTGCCCTTGTGCCCCCTCGCTCAGGGCCCTGACCCAGGACACTGGCCAGCTGTGAGTAGCCGCCAGACACCTGCCGCCTCCTCCCTAGCACCTGCACCCCAGTCCCCCAGCACCAGCCTCTCCACACTGTTCCAGCTGTGGTCCCCAAGGAGCCCTCCCTGATCTCCTGTGCACCCCTCCGATGTGGGGCCCCCACCCAGCTTCTCCCTACTGTCATTACCCCAGATCGGGGGTTCCACTGGCCACCAGGGAGCGAGCCCCCCACCTCGTGCCTCTCTTGCTGGGCTCCAGCTCCCATGCCCAGCAGCAGGGCTGCCCCGGGAGCCTGCCTGGCCCTGCTCTGTGCAGAGGTGGCCCTGGGCCTCCAGTGTGTTGGGCACCACAACTGCCCAGGCAAAGGGGACGCAGGGGCCTTGTCACCACTCAGCTGGGGGTGTTAGGACGCGTGCAGCCCTGGAAGCTGCTTCGAGGATCAGACACCAACAAACAAGCAAGTGGCGTCTTGGGACCCAGCCACTCTGGCCTGCCCTCAGCAGTCAAAGCCTTCTCGTGGGCTCCAGCAGAGGGAGGAGCCTTCCCCAAGCAGACCTGGGAGTCACCCCGACAGCCACCGGACTGTGAGGACGCCTGGCTTGAATGTGCCGGACACCTGGAGCGATGCTAGACCACGAGGCTTCAGGGCCAGGCCCTGTGAGGCTCAGCATCTGGGCAAAGATGCAGAGAAGATGGGGCACAGGCCAAGGAAGAATCATGCAAGCTCTGCCAGCAGGCTGGTGAGGGCTGAGCTGGGCACTGTGGCAGGGGAGACAGGGCAGGGCAGGGGCATCTCAGCTGAGGCAGGAAGAGGGACTGTAGGCAGCGGGCACAGTGTGTGCAAAGGCCCTGGGGTCAGCGGGAGACTGGCATGGCTGTAGCTCAAGGATGAGTGGATGGTGTGACATGGCACCAGGTGACAGTGCAGGGCCTCGAATGCATGGGGATTCTAGAGGGGGTTCTGGTGGTGCCAAACAGGACAGGTTGGCCAGGGCCACCCTGGCTGCTGGGTAAGAAGTGATGGGGGGAGTAGGAGGGGGGAGGTCAGGGAGAACTGAGGTTGCAGACTCTGCTGCGACTCCAGCAGCAATGCCCCCATCTGTAGGCCCCCAAATCCCTAGCACTAGGCCACTGCCTGGGGGTGTTCACACAGCTGTACACTAGAGACCAGGAAGAGACAAGAGCCGGGGAGGTGGAGGCTCCATGCGGGAAGTGGGGCAGCAACACCCAACAGGGGCGGCACCTCACACATCACAAGGAGGAAAATGTGCCCGAGGGGTTGGCCTGCCCTGCAGCACTGTACAGCCCGAGCCTGACCCCGGTCCTGGGAGCCCCTGAAGGAAGCCTAGGGCCCCAGAGCACAGACACCCAACCCCCGGCTGGGAGACCTCAGCCCGGTGTCACCCCAACCAGAAGGCACAAGCAGGGTGTCTGAGGAGGGGCCAGCGCACGACAGGGGGCAGGCACTGAGGTTTCATGCCTCAGGAGACAGCGGCTGGGCCACCACAGGCCACGTACGACTGGAACCCTGGCGTAGGCAGCAGCCACGTGGAGCTCTTCGGATTCGGCCAGCAGGCTGGGTCAGGGGCCCAGCCGGCTCTCCATGTGTCGCCAGCACCTTGTGCCCCAGAGGTGGGGAGCACCCTAGGGACTCAGTGCCAGGACACCCACCTGGGGGCTGCATGCACAGGGACTTCAGTGCCCTCAGGCCCCTTCTGGCACCTGTTGGCACTCATCACACCCCGTGTGCATCCCCCAAGGCTGTGCCCTCCGTCAGTCAAGCACGAGGACCCTGACCACTACCTGCCTGCAGCCTGGTGCCCTGCCTGCCCTGAGCCCCGTTCCAGCTGCATCTGCCACCTGAGAGCAGGTGCCAGGCCACGCGGAGCCTTCTGCTGCTCAGAGGACACAGTTCCAAGCCCCAGGCTCAACAAGCCAGACACCAGGACACCACCCAGCAGCACCACCTCGTCCTGCCTTGGCCCAGGGTACAGCCTGAGCACAGCTGGCCTTGTGGCCCCTCACCCTGCTCAGGACCAAATGGGCAGACGTAGAGGGGAACCTCGGGCAGAGTGGCTGCTCACCATCCTGAGCCTGCTCAGCCTTGGGTGTCTGTCCTCCAAGTCCCCCACTCCAGCCTGGCCTCCCCAGCTCAGCTCACAGCACGCGGCAAAGCCTCCCAGACTTCCACATGCTCAAAGCTCGCTCTGCAGAAGCCTTCCCCACAACTCTGGAAAAACCCCTCTGCGGGCCTCCCAGCTGGTCAGTGCAGCTCGAGGTCTCCCAGGCCCTGCAGAGCCGGCTCATCCAGGCCCCTTCGTAGTCTCTGTCCAGCTGCTGTGGGTCTCTGTTGTCTGCAACCCACGTTACCCTGACCAGGGACGCTCATTGAAGACCCTGGCTTCCTAAGTGGCCTCTCAAACAAGGATGGAGATTTTGGGGTCCTCCACACAGGGCTTTGTTTGTGGGTCAGCGGGGCTGTGACACACAGGCTCTCCCCACGGGGCACAGCAACCCAGGGGCTCCCCCTTCCCTGCTGCTCCCAAAAGGTCCCCCAAAGACCACGTCCTGTCCACAGGCTGGAAGCAGGATAATACCACGTCGCTGACAGTGCAGGCGCCTGCAGGGCGCCTCCAGAAAGCCAGCTCCCAGCGCTGCCCTGACAGCGGGTGCACCGAGCACCAGGCATCTGCGGAAGGCTGAGCCAGAAGCCTGCGCCCTCAGCTCCAGGGCCCGCGCTGGCTTCACCCGGGGAGCGCTCTGCTGGCTGAGGCTCAGCATTTGACATCGGGACTCTCATCGCCCCCCACCCCGGGGATCCCAGGGCAGGCTGACGTTTTCAGAGGCCCTGGAGCTCGTCCTCCCCAGTCCTAGTGTCCCCAGCCCCTCCGGGGCGCTTACCCGAGGGGCAGGCGCCCTTCTGCAGCACGCGCACGGGCGTCCCCGACAGCTGCAGCGAGCGGCGGCTGGCAGCCTGCAGGGCACACACGCTAGCGTGGGTGCGGCCGTCCGTGCCACACACCGGGCTGGCCCAGCGGCAGCGGCACACGCCGCGGGTGCACTCCAGGCTCTCGCCGCATGGCGCGTCCTGCGCGCGGCCGCAGGGCTCGCCCTCGCCAGCGGCGCACACCAGGCAGCAGCTGCAGGCGTCAGGCACGTAGCCGCCGGGGCAACGCGGGCTCGGGCAGCGCGACACGTCGCAGCGAGCGGGGCAAGGCGCCGCCGGGGACTCCAGGGCCGTCGCCAGCGCGAGCAGCGCGGCCACGAGCAGGGCGCGCGCGTGCATGGCGAGGACGTCGACGCGGGGACTCGGGGAGGCGAGGACAGCGGGCGACCGAGGGCGCGGGGCTCAGGCGGGCGCGCGCCCGCGGCGCAGGGCCATAAGCGCAGGAGGGACGGGACGCGCTGGCTCGCTCGGGCAGGGCAGTCCGTGGGCGCTAGGCCCCCGCAGCCTTTAAAGGCGACGCCCGAGCCCGCCCGGCTGGAAGAGGAAGCCACGCCCCCGCCTCTGGCCCCACCCCTAGGCCCCTGGCAGCCTTGCGGGGGAGGGACTCGGGGTGTAGAGCTCCAGAGGCCCCGTGTGTGGGCTGTGGGGGGGCTGCGGGAGCCCTAGGGACCAGCTCAGGCTCCCCCTTGAAATGGAGTCCAGATGGTACCCAAGCCTGTCCCTAGCCTGCGCCCCCTCTTCCTGCAAGCCCCGCAGCTGGGGTCCCCTGCAAGACGTGCACAGGGCAGGGCAGATGCTCCTCTCCTGGGGTCCCGACTTCTCCCACGGTGGGGAAAACCTGTGTCTGTCTCTATGGCTGGTGTCCGGTTCCAGGCTCTGTGACGCTGGGAGGCTCTGTGTCTGTTTCTCCTTCAAAAGGAGGATTTCACAGCACACTCCACCTCTCAGGGCTGCTGGAAGCCTGCCGCAGGTACTGTCCCTGACCCGCAGGGCTGGCGGCACAGACAGCCCCGGAAGTGGAAGTCAGTCCTGTTCTCATGGTTACACCTGCGTTCTTCAAGGGCCAGGACGGGGCTCAGCTGGTGCCAGGAACTCGGGGCTGCCGAGATGAGTCTCGGCAGAGCGGGGAGTGGACCCCTTTGGAGGTCAGGAATTTGGGGCGTGGCCTCGGACCAGGGGAGAGACTAGCTGCTGCCTGGACCTCCACGCAAAAGCACCAGCTCCCAGGCCCATGTGGCAGGAGACGAGAGCACCCTGCGGGGCCCTTGGAGACACATGACAGATGGCATTGTGCATGGAGTGGGGCAGTTCCACGGGACACGGAGGCGAGGGATTTCAGAGGGCTCGGGAGACACAGGAAGCGAGGGTGGTCGCCTGTGACGGAATGGCCTGCTCCAGCTCCCGCTGTGGGGGAGATGTCCAGCAATTCCCTGCAGAAGGGGCTGAGAGGCCCTGTACCTCAGGTGCCAGGGCGGCTCAGGCTGCTTCACAACTGAAGGGCTCGGGGCTTTTCATCCAAGTTCCTGGACCGGGGGCTAAGGAGAGGGGATCTGGGTGACAGGTGTGGGGCTGGGCTATGGAGGCCTGGGCTCTGCATGGGGAGGTGGTAGGGGAGCCCCATGAGGCAGGGCTGTCTGAAGGACCGTGGGAGGGGCAGAGTGGAGACCCCAGTGTTAGCACCCAGGGCCCCAGAGACGGGAGACCAGGAGCACGGGATGCAAGAGCTCAAGGCGTCGGGTAGTGGCCAGTGCTTCCCCTGTCCAAGCCCTTTGTACAGGAGTAGAGTCTCAGCCTCTGAAGGTGTGAAGGTGCTTGGCTGGGAACGACCCAGAGTGCCCTGGGCTGGGGACCTCACACCTGGCCTGGTTTGGGTGACCTTGGCCCTGGCCTGGGCTGCTGCCTCCGCCTCTGCAGAGTGGACTCAGGCCCTGTCCCTCCCCTGAGTGTGTTTGTGGCCTAATACAGGGCTGCTGGGGACCCGCCACCCTGAGAACATTGGTCCAGAGAACAGTACTGATGTCCTGGGGTTCTCTGGGGCACAGTTGGAGGCTCAAGAAGGGCCTGAGCATTCTCTTTCTCCAAACGTTTCGCTAGCAGATGGGGAAACTGAGTCTGGAGGAAGCTGAATTTGTGCAGCCCAGTCTGCAGATGTGCACAGCCTTCACCCCCAAGCTCCTCGGGCATCTGGTGGCCTCCCAGGTAGGATGGGGGCCACTCATTGTGACCTTTGAAAGTCAGAGTTGGCCAGGCCACACTGTCCCCAGGCCCCCCATAGAACTTCAGCGGCTGCTCTGCCATGCGGGCATCTCGTCCCCAAGGCCCGAGGCAGAGGCCGTGTGGTTTGTGTGCAACTCCCAGTGTCCTCCCGTCCCCGCGCACCAGGCGGCCCTGCTGTTGTCCAGCCGAAGCTCCAGACTCAGGGAGCCCTCCCAACCTGTGCCCCCTGTGGCCAAGACGCCCCCTTCTGGGCTGTCACCGGACACCCAAGAGCTCTCCAGACCCTTCCTGTGACTCTCGCCCAAGGTGGATGTCGCACTGGGTGAGGCCACAGCTCACAACACTTTGGGAATCTGACTGTCCAGCCCTGCCCCGCCTATGATGGGGACAAGGAGGCAGGCACGGCAGCTGGTGCTTGTTGTCACCTTGGCACCCTGTGGGAGGATCTGGTTTTTGTTGCTGAGGCGGCAGGACACAGAGAGGCAGGGTACGTGCCCTGGGTCACACAGCTGGCTCTGCGCCGAGGAGCAGGACCTGGGTTAGGTGCTGCACCTCTGAGTCCCGCCTCTGTGACCCCTGCAGGGAGACTGAGGCAGAAGGAGCTGAACAGTGCCAGGGCCTGATGGTGCAGCACGAGCCAGGTGTGGGTGTGCAGTGCCCTGAGGACCCGAGACAGCGTCTCAGCCAAAGCATCTTCAGCAAAGCAGTCCCGGCCGTGCCCTCCAACTGGCAGTCCCGGCTGGGCAGCTGCAGGTGTAGCCAGATCCAGGGCTCAGGGTGCTATCAGACCGTGCTCCCTGGGTGCTGGTCACCTTTGAGGACCCAGATACCCGTCCTCCAGGGGCACTCCCAGCAGCCCCACCAAGTGGCAGCGTGTGGCACTGGCCAGACGCTGATTGGGCACAGGGCCGTGGCCTCCACTCCAGCTATGGTCACGTCTGGCCGGGAAGCTGTTGTCTGGGACTCAGCAGATGGGACCTCGTGGTGACCAGGATCAGAAAGTCAGGGGGTCTCACCATGGCCTCATGATGGGGCGCCAGCCTCTGTGCACATGCTGGTGACGGGAGCGCACTGTCCCTTCTGTGCTCGGACCCTGTGTCTTCCTGGAGCTATGTCCTGTCCCATCCCTCTCGTCCTGAGGCCCCAGGAAATAAGTCGCTCCCCTCACCCATGTAGGAGCTGTAGATACCCGAGCCAGCCCCCAAACCCTCAGCTCCCGCAGTGACCCTGAGTTTATTTCCTGTTTCATGACAACACGAAAAGAATGCCTTTTCCTTAAGGTTCCTCAGAGTCTGTGGGCGCTGCTAGCAGAACTTTAGGGTGGACCTAGCCCTGGGCCTCAGCCCCTGTGTACAACCCCTGGAAGGCCCCCACTTAGGGTAGGTGGCCTGATCAGGCGAGCCCTCCCAGGGGACAGAGGCACAGTGTGAGAGAGGTTAGAAGGACAGCAGTCAGGGGACTGCAAGGCTGGGCAGGGACTTGGTAGATTTGGGACCGTTGGGCCCGACCTGGGGTTCACTCTCTGCCCAGCTCTTGTGTCCCACTTTTACAGCAGGGAAACTGAGGCTGTGAAGGGGGCGTGGGGAGCTGAGACCACTGGGCTGATTGGTGATTAGAGGCCACACGGGCTGAGTCTCTGCAGTGGACCAGGTGAGAACCGTTGGAGTGTGGAGTCCTCATACAGCCTGAGAGGACGTGTGACCATGACTGCCCATCATGGAGATGAAGCCATGGCGCCCAGGCAGCCACCGACACCTGAGCCTTGGAGGGGACTTGGCTGTACCAGGCTGCCAGGCTGCCCCTGACCTGCCAGCGCTGGGGTGGCCCTGGCTCTGGCCCTGCTCTCCGGCCCTCGGCTTCCTCCCCTTGTGACTGGCTGATGGGTGAACTGGGTGTTTGAGATGGGGTCTGGACGTGCAGCTCAGGCTGGCTTCAGAGTCATAGAGATCCTCCTCCCTCAGACTCCCACCTGCTCGGATGGCAGGCGTGCCCCAAAGCGCCATCTCCTCCTTTTAAGATGCTCCACTGCTGCCAGGGGACCCGCAAGCAGGAGGTAACAAGTCCCAGTGCCCCCTCTGAGAGCCCTGAGGAGTGCTCATGTGGGTACCTGGGCCTCCGCCTGGCCATCCTCGCCCCCTCCCTCAGCCCCTCCACCAGCTGCACCCAGCTCTGCGTTCTCAGCCCCTCTCCGGCCCTGGAGCCCCATACCCCACCTTGGGTCCCGGCCTCCTGTGCACCCCACATGTGTTCCGATCAGCTTTCCTGAGAGAACAGGGTTACACCTGCTGCAGGCAGAGCATGCAGCTTTCTGTGCGGACACTGTTTTCTGTTCTCCTGATGCACTGGTCCGAGTGGAGCTGCTGGGCCTCACATTGACTGTGTAGCCGCTGGCGAAGCTGCTGGCTGTTTCCACAGTGGCCCTGGCACCGTGTATTTCCCCAGCAACACACGGGTGTCTCACGGCCTCCCATCCTCGCTGACTCTGCTATTCTCCAAGTATTGTCCTTTTACTTCTGGTGGGTGTGGCGTGGTGTCCTGCTGGGGCTCTGGTCTGCTTTTCCTGGCGGCTGGCACTGATGAGTGCCCTCCGTGTGCTCGCGGCCCTGTGTGGTCTGTGCTGGGGAAATGTTTGTCCTTCGTCTCTTTTCCGATTAGATAATTTGCATCTTGCTGCTGAGTGGGAAGCACTCTTTGTATGTGCTGGGTGAAAGTCATCGCCAAGTGGACGGCCTGGAAAATCTCCTCCCGCTCTGTGCATTTCTGTCTGTTTTTCTGATGCAGAAACGTTTCTTTTCAGTGGAGTCCGACTCAGCCGTTTATTTTTGTGTATTGCGTTTGTTGTCTGTCTAAGCAGGGCGGGCCCGGTGCTTTTCTTCTGGGTGTTTCATGGCTTTTGCTCTTCTGCCATGCACTGTGGGTGTCCGTGTGTGGTGTGAGGTAGGGGTCCAGCATCGTCTGTTTGTATGTGGACATCCAGCTGTCCTCACCCGATTGTGAGAGGACTGGCCACCCCCACTGCACTTTCTCGGTGCCCTCTGTGGTCGGCTGGCAACTGGGGGCAACTTGTAGCACCCAGCCGAACTGAGTCAGCCTGGTACTGGGTGTCCAGGGCCCTCCTGAGGATCGGAGCCAACAGCATAGAAAGAAGAGGAGCTCGGGACCTCATCGCTGAGGATGGCTGTGGTGATTTTGCAGGGAGCCCTGGTCCTTATTTTGAGCCTCACTTCCTGGCTCCAGCATAGAACCCTCAGCCTGCTGGCACAGCTCCTTCACCCACTGGAAGCTTGCTGGCTTCCACCTTTGGGCCTTCTCAACATAGAT